GGTACAGAATGAATAGAAAAGAGGAGGGGTGAGGTAAGGCTCGCTTAAACTCTATAAGAATTAAAGCGAATCATTCGAGGGTAGCTAAGGGTCGTAGCCTCCAGCGATTATACTAATAGTCGGGGCGTAGACAAGCTGATAGGAAAGGGTGGTAGGGATGGAAGGTGGAGAAGGAGAAGGGGAAGAGGGCACGGTCGAGCTACTAATTGTTTTACATGCTGGCAACTTCGTTCGGAGGTTTAGACGATTCTCTTCTCTGCCTTAAGCCGTTTACTCCAATGAAAAGTCCAGCAAGCTTCAATATTCATGAGACTTAAATTAGAAACTCCGTTCTTTCAGATGTAAGTAAAAAAAAAAAAAGAAAAAAGAAAAAAAAAGAAATAAAAAAGGAAAAAAAAGGAAAAAAAAAAGAAAGTTTTTCATTTTCCTTTTTTTCTCTCTTTTTGCTTTGAATTTCAGTTTGAACGTTTCCAAACTGAATGACACTTGGTACGTGTAATCTAATTTAATTACATATAGGCTTAGGCATAGGTAAGGATAAATTTAGTGTTTCCTACAGATTTTCTATATTAAAATTTGGTGGGAAAAATATAGTAAGGACGCGCGCGCGCTACTCTTAACGAGGACGACGATGGACGTGCCAGAAGAAAAAATGTTCAGCATCATAGGCAAGAATGGGCAAACCGGAACGACGCGGCACGGCGGGCGTACTCTTCGATGCGGAAGAAAACCCAGAGGCGTAAGAGCGAACAATGGGCTCTCTTCTGGCAGGTTGATCCTCGTTGAGTAATGTTGAAATCTGGGGCGTTCCTGGGAAAGGACACCTGATCTCCGGCTGCTCCCTTCCATCATTGCCACTGCCGGTGGACCCTCACGAACAAGTAGTTAGCTACCGTTTGCATTTCGAATCGAAACACCAAGAATAATAATGCAATGTTCGATTATCTTTACGATTACTTATTTGAATCTTCTTTCTCGAGTCGCTTCTCTCTCTCTCTCTCTCTCTCTCTCTTTAGAGATTTTAATAAAGAATTTAATTAAGAACAAAAAGAAAGAAAGAAAGGATAAAATGAGAAGCTCTGCTTGTTAAAATAATCATAGTCCATGCAAGTCTATTCGCTTAGTATCCGCGCGATTGACGTACTGCATTAAATTTATACGTTCCAAGCACGGAACACGTTGATAAATCAAATGAAATCATTCGGTGGATCATCAAATCTATTAACCGTAGACCATAAAACTAAGATTTTCTTAGTAAAGTGATCGATCAGTCGTGCATAATTGAGGTAACGCGTTAAATTTTGTACCCGTAAAATTTGAAAAATGACATTTGATATTGTAAATACGAATTTCGATAGGATAGGATACAGATGGAACAGAGCGAGATGAACCGGTCTAGCTAAACTTTACTTTGGTATTACTTTGGTATTACATTGATATTACTTTGGTATTACTTTCGTCCTACTGTCGGACAAAGTAAGAAGCGATCATCGAAGATAGAGGCGAATAGCCAAAAATATGATAGTTCCGATAGGTAAACGTTTCCCATGGAATGGAAAGACGTTTAGGGATGGGCACAGGCCGTCAGGTAATGGAAGATGTGATAATTTAGTATGCACGGTGGAGTTTATTTGAATTTTATTGGTGGGCTCGGATGTCACGTGATGCCATGGCGCAGAAGTAGTGGCCATGCCCCACAGGGGGTCCCTCTTTTCGCTTTATCGGATCGGGGGGAGAGATGACGCTCCTCCCGTTTTCCCGTTTCCCCGAGGGGACACTTCCGTCCGACCAATATCGTTCCTCTCGCTCTTTCTCCTCCTCAAAACCTCCTCTCTTCTCCTCCTTCTTCATGATTCTCTCGCTTTCTCTCCTGGGCCACTTCCAATATCTTTCGAAATTCTCCAAGCCAGCCATGAATAAACTATTTCCCGACTTTGAATATCTTAGCGTTTTACGCGGAAATGGGACCACCGTTCGAGGGATCGGCTACAAAAAAAAAAAGAAGAGAACGAGAAAAAGAGGGACAGAGAAAGAGAGAGAGAGAGAGAGCTGGAGAGAGAGCTGGAGAGAGAGCTGGAGAGGATGATATCGATTTGATCGACGCCGAATACAGGGATATTCTTCACCTTTTTACACTATTTTACCCTATTTTACACTATTGTGTTTTTCCTCTTTCTCTCTCTCTCTCTCTCTCTCTCTCTCTCTCTAATAACTCTCGCTTCCCTACATGAACAAAAGAATTTCTTTTTCTTTTCTTTCTTCTTTATTATTACCATCAACCTACCGAGCTGAAATGTTTCTCGCCGAGTTCGCTGAGATTGTGTGAAACCATTTGGCCCCTATCAACGATGAAAGACAACTCGAAACAAGACGAGTATATACATATATGAATCATAGGAAGATAGACTATTTCAATGGATGATTCAACTCGATCATTTCTATATAATTCTCAAATGATTCGACGAAATGATGAATCTCAATGTTATAATAGAAGCTTGCACTTTTTCGTTAAATTTTCATCTAATTTAATAGCGAATCTTCTGAAATAATTGTCGCCGGTAACAATGGCGATTAATTTTTCCGACGACGGCGATGAAATCAGACAGTCAACGTAATGAGTAGCATCGTCTGCCACACAATTCATCGGATGTCGCAAAAGGTGCGAGGAAGGGTGCGAGGAAGGGTGCGAGGAAGGGTGTTGGCGAAGGACCGTCGAGGTTATTAATATTCAGAACGAGGAGTTGGAGCAGGAGTTGGAGCAGGAGCTGAAGCCCAACAACAGGAGGAACCCAAGAGCAGTAGCAGTGCCGAGTGACAAATACCTCGCGCCCCGTCCCAACCCCGGAACGACTCGAGTCTGTAATTAACGCTAATCTCCAGGTCGTTTCTACGACATCGTACCACCCACTTCGTCTTTGCCATCGTGCGTCTTTGTACTTACCAAAGAACTGACGACAGTAGCTTAAATGGACTCTCCGTTAGTCGATCCTTTTCTCGAACGACAGATGTGTTAACACGTTCCTACGAACGATACTATCGATTGTGTTTAACCCTTACTCTTTACATGTTATTTCGAAGAAAAATTATAAATTAACTAACTATTATTTTTCTATTTCTAAACTTACTATCAAGTTTGATTTAAATGTAATTAAATGAAATTAAATGATTGAAAAAAAAATCGTTCAAGAAACAAAAGATAATAATGATGATGTTTTTCCAAAATGTTTGCTAGTATAATATTACCGTCGCTACTCATTCGTTTACAAACAAATGTACAGTTCACTTAGTATAACTAACGCCTAAATATGGTTTTACATTTTATTACAGTAGCGATGAAAATTTCTATCTAAAACAAACTCGAGAAGCATCGAAATGAATGAGCTCCGAAAAAACTTGACCAATCGAGTTGTTGCTTTTTTACGATTACTACAAATTTCTTTCGTACAAAGGTAGAGAAAAGAAAAATAGGAAGACTTCTTAAGTAGGGAGGTCAAGAAAGATTTCTTCACCCGCATTCTCCTCCCCATGGTACGGACAAGGACATGGTGAACTAAAATAGCAAGCCAGCCGACCGCGAATATCCTTGATTAAACGCTAAAAAAGAAGAAAATACATGAAGGGAGCGACGAGGGTGGTCTTGCGCACAAAACCACTTCCGTCGCTTTTTTCGCCATCTTCGCCATCTTCGCCATCTTCACCAACTTCGCCATCTTCGCAGCGGTCGAGTTTAAACGTGGAATTGGATTAACCGACTATCTATTTCGCTTTTTACCTCTCATCTTTACTTTGTTCTAATTTGGCTAACAAAACTCATTGATATTTTCCAAATCTTATATTAGATAGAGAATTTTTCATCCACTTGCAAATAATTCATTGATTGTGTGAAAATTTATCGGCGTTCGTGCAAAGACTTCGCTTATTTATAACGGGATGACAGAGAAAGGTTCTTACCTATAGCTGATAATAATATTCGCCTGTTCATGAAAAGGCGACTGAAAGGAGGATCGAGTATTAGGAGAGAAAAGGGGTTGTTGTTGTTCGAGGGGGCAAATGCCTGATAATCGCGTGGATGACGGCGTTCGAAACAATGCGCTCGACGTCGCGTTACTTCGGCACATGAGGTTCGCCGTAGCGGCTGCGGCGGTGGCAGCGGCGGGAGGGTTGATGTCAGAGCGAAGTGATGTATAGTGCTCAGAGCGAGCTCGGGAAATGCCACGTGCCCCACCCCCACCTACCATACAAACTCTCCCATAAGTATTAGGGTGCGACTAGCTACTATTCGCCTACGCACTACTGCCCTATGCAATTGGATTCCTTTAGTGCTCGCGCGCACGCGTACACTTTCTCTTATTTTCCCTTATTTTCCCTTATTTTCCCTTATTTTGCTCCCATCTTCAACCCTTAAATGCCGAACTAAAGCGATCAATGATCGCTTCAATTCGTATTCCAAGAGACATACACGAATTCGATTAGCTTCTGACACAGCAGTTAGTGAAAGATTCACCTTTGTGACATATTATTAGATACGATTAAATATACTTGAATATATTAATAGATTAAGATATACGTAGTTAAATATACGACAATATTATTAATCTGTATAAATTTAATAACATTCAGTTACTCGCGTTTCATATTTTCAGCAAAGATCCAAAAATGTCTAAGGATGTTACCCCCGCCCGATGTGTTGGAGCGTTCACTCATCAAAGAAGATCGCCCGCTATTCCTTCGTACCATTTTCAAATCTATTTTTGAGAAGAGAGTTAATTGTACGAAAAATTAAATAATATGAAAAAAAAAAAAAAGAAAAAAACAAGATACAATATAAGAACATTTAACCAAGAAACTTGCGCTATAGCTTTACAGTTAATGTTGCTAGTTTGATTAACTGACGTTGATAAGTAGGATCACCGTTTTATCGGCTGCAGAAAAATCAAAACTGTAATAAGTGTTATGCAATTCTACCGCATTTTTCGTTTAACCTGGCGCTATTACAAGTTCAAAAATGATCATCCCACTTTTATGCACAAACTGTCATTTAATATAACAAAACATGGCGATTGTACGATATCTCTGGCTAGTAAATATATCTTTTTTAATAATAATATTATGCAGTAATGGAGAAAAATCGTATCACGCCGTGGTAGTAATTCACGGGGTACTTACTGGCAGTGATAGCATGGAACTTATCAGTAACAGAATAGAAGAAGTAAGTTTTACAAAACAACAATATCTATCTAGATGTCGCTATTGTACTATGTTGATTATCTCATGCAAAAATGATAGTTTAACCAGGAACAGCTGTTCTTGACATTATGCAATGTTTTTAAAACTTTTCATCGCGCAATCATTTAAATTATCTCTCAATTGGATAATTCACTTTTCATATTACATATTGTTATATACATACATATGACACATATGACAATAAAACGTTATTATTTTGTTCTAGATGCATCCTGGAAGTCAGGTTTATAATATTATTAGATTTGCTGGTTGGGAAAGCTTGAAACCTATGTGGCGTCAAGTAGAAGAAATAGGAATGGATGTTATATCTATAGGTGCAGCTTTTCCTGAAGGAATCAATTTGATAGGCTATAGTCAAGGAGGTTTACTTGCTAGAGCTATTTTACAGAGATTTCCTCAACATAATGTAAGGAATTTTATATCGTTAAGTTCGCCTCAAGCAGGACAGTATGGAAGTAAGGCAAATTATAATATACAATATTATCAAAAATTATCTTAGTTATAATAATGATGTATCTATTGGGATATTAATATCAAATTTTAATCTAGCTCGCTTCCTACATTTATTCTTTCCAAACTTGGTATGTGAAACAGCCTATGAATTGTTTTATTCTAAAGTTGGACAGCTCACAAGCGTAGGGAACTATTGGAATGATCCACACCACCAGGTTTACTGTCGTCTTTCTTTCATTTTTAATGTTAAGTTTTTAATGTTTATCATAAGATGTAGATTTAATCTAATCAAGATTGTTACTATCGCATTAGGAATTATACCTCAAGTACAGCAAATTTTTGCCATATGTGAATAATGAGGAAACCAATAAAATTGTCTTCAAATCGGGCCTTGCAAAATTAAACCGTATGATACTCATTGGCGGTCCAGATGATGGTGTCATTACTCCTTGGCAAAGCAGTCAATTTGGATACTATGATCAAAATGAAACGGTCGTCGAATTACGCAATAGATCTATTTATCAGGATGACCTGATTGGTCTTCAAACTCTAGACAAAGAGGGAAAATTGAATATTATTACTGTCCCGGGAATACCTCATTATGGATGGCACAAAAATATATCGATAATAGATGAATTTTTATTGCCATATTTAGATTAAAGAACATATTACTAATCAAGTTAAATTAATATTGGTAACAATTCCTAATCGCTATTAAATAATATATGTATTCGTATTGCCCAAAGAATTAATTACAATTTTTACAAGTTTGCATTTATTCGAACGATTTAACTTAAAGACTAATCATCTTCCAGTAAAGGCTGTCATTTTTAGCTCCATAATTGATTGATTTATTGTGTTCATTTATATTCTCTATATACTCATGTACGCAGTATATATCATTTTTCAAACATTTTATTACAATATTAGTGAAAATGTTTCCTTTTGTATATGTGTATGCGCATATAAACATCAAACTACAAAATATCATTTTATAAAATCTGAAACAATTTTTTACAGCTCCAATATTGATTACAATTGTCAATTTTGAATCTTTTTAAATAAGTATATTTATGTAAAAAGCTATAAAATAATATAATTTTATTATTATTATTATTATTATTTTAAATATTATTGAAAATTGCAGTACGTACATCACTCTCATATTCACCTGACAATCTTGTAGTTCTTGCAATCTAGTTTGTTGCACCTATTTGTTGATGGAAACTATACCTCTACACTTGTTTATAAACTTTAACAAAAAACTTAACATTTCTTTACATATTGTTTCTCTTTTTATTTTTTTTTTTTTTTTTTTTTTTTTTTTAATTCTATTTTATATTATATTATATTATATTATTAAAATCAACAAAATAGTGAAAAGTATCACATTAATTAGAATTGTTCGTTACGCGTAAAGCGAGTAATAAGATCGAGAGCCCAACGAGGTTGGTCATAAGGAACCAAATGACCTGCATTTCGAACAAGAACTTCTGTTAGATTATCAATAGACTTTGTATAACCAGCCAACTCATCTTCAACCCGCCACTGCTTACGATCAACCGTTTTATATTTCTCTGCACCAGACCATTTTAAATTTTGCAAAAAATTAAGAACATACGGATATGCAACAATAATATCAAGTTGACCATTATAAAGGAGAACCCTATAATGTTGTAATAAATCTGATACCAGTACAGCTACAGATTGCATTATATCTGTTTTCAAATAATTCTCAACTATTTCACTTGTAAAATTAAAGGTACAATTGCCTACATGTATCGCACGCCTAACATCCGCTCTTTGCACCCATTCTAACAGCCATAGTGATTCATTAGTTTCCTCTGTCTGTAAATAATTAAAGTAATATTTGAAACCTGTTGCATTTGTAAAAATAGACGGATCACCAGAGAATAATACGTTAATCGTCTCTAAAGCATCCACATATTTCTTTTGCTTAATTAAATCACGTGTTTTTTCCTCATATTGATGGAACAAATTCTTTAGATTTATATCTATTAAACCTATTTGATATAAATAATCGCTATATACAAGTTGATTCTCAGGATCTATATATCCATTTCCTATCGCCAAACCTTTTAAATTTATTTTCACTTTTGCGTTAATATTGTAATCTTTGATAGCATAAGAAACAGCAGGTACATATTTTCCGGCGTAAGATTCACCAGTAACAAAAAAGTCATTATTCTGAAGTTCCGGAAAAAGTTGAAAGAACTGCACTAAAGCAATATTAATTTCTTTTCCTATTTGGGTTTCATTTCTGGCATAGCCTTCATCATTCTTAGTGAAGCTGTAACCAGTACCAACAGGGCTATCAATGTAAATTAAATTGTGAGAATTGCTCCAGGAATAATTACGCGGTGCAAGATGTATGTTTGAAGTAATCAAAAATGGTCCGTGTAAGATAAAAATACTAAATAAGGTACTTAGTCCTGGACCACCTTCTAACCACAATACCACTGGCGCATCCTTTGGATTATGCTATATATGGAAGAAAAAGTTCTAATTTAAGAAATATCATCTTGTTAATTTATTTAAATTAATGTAATATATATTGACCTTAGCAGGGAAGAACCAGAAAAATAAATTAGAATCGTACTCCTTATTTACTGTTAAGTAGCCTGCGTAACTACTAACAGAGCTCATTTCCCTGTGTTCAACGATAGATTGCATTCGAGCTTCATCAATCTTTCCACTTTCAATAAGCGGCGTTAAGAAAAGAGGATTACCAACATCTGCATTTTCATCAGGAAGACATCTTTTTGATTCTGCATAAATGTTTGTAAATGCATTCGTGTTTGTTTTTATAAACACAAACAAAACTAATAAACTAAGTAACTTGCTCATCCTTATTGATATATATCTATATTTATATAAAGATATATTTATGAGTGAATCTTGATAATGTAACTTTAACAATTTTTTACGATTCTCTTTCGGTTTTTCTTCTGTTACGTATTAAACGTACAAATTTACTAATTTAGGACGTATACTGTGGTATTTCCATGCTTAGTCATTCAAATGTACATATATAATTAAGCAAACGATCACTCGACATTTTCAATCGATTATCGATATTTTTAGCAACGATATATGGCAAAGAAAACAATCCTACAGGCGTATACGCATGAAAGATCATTCAATAAAGGTATGTAACATTTTTAACTGCTTATTAATAATTTGATATTGTAATTTGATAGATGGTTTCAAGGTTGCATCAAGGCATCGTCAAATATTATTTTTAAGAATAAGAAACTAACCTAAAAACCTAACCCTTAGACTGACAATGCTGTCGATGATCTTATTGGTCGTCGTTTGGACGAGTTTGGGAAAAGAAAACTTTTATTTATAAATAAATTTATAATATGTGTGTGTCTGTTTTGTTTTTTTAACAAAAAGAAAAAAAAAACGACATCTCTGCTCAAGCACGTACATTAAAAGCTTTTCTAAAATAACAGAGATAAGAGATAATTACATACACGTGAGAACACACACACAACACTTGAGCTGCGTACATACTACTACATAAAAGACTATTTTTCAGTATTTTCTTTTTTCTGTTGAATTTCAAGCAAATTCATTTATACGAATAACCTAAATAAATTCGTTTATCAAGGTTAGTATACCTATATAAAGCGCAAATATAATTATTTATCGAATATGGAAAATAATATTTTATAAAGAAATGTTCCAAAAATTAATAGCAATAGCAAATAGGTATATGTATATTGATTTTGAAAAGTCATTATGTTGCTAGCAACGCTAGATGACGGTATAGAGTTAAATTATATTCTATATTCATATTGTTGTGCATTTTATAATTGTACATAGCAAGAGATTAAAATTGTAATTTTGTTTTTAGCTAAAATTGGTTTGGTGTGCTAAAGCTAGGTTAGAAATAATAATGAAAAGTACCCTTTATTAAAAAGATTTGTTATTACAGTTAGAAATATATTATTGTTCATATAGATGGATGACAAGGATCCTACAAGTGTAATTAAAATGATTAAAGACCTTCGATCTGGCTCAGAAGGTTATCGACGAAATAGTGGAGTTTCCGTTCGACTATCTGCTACAGCATGTAATCCATCAATCTTTAATAGCACCGATGTATGCAGTATTTCTCCAAAACGTCCAAGACTGGATGATACAAGTGCCAGTAATTCTATATTAAATAAAAGCGAAAGTGATCCTGTGCCTGGTAGTCCGTGGGAATGGAGAAGATTAAAAGGAGAAGTAATTATTATTATTATTATATATTTAATACTAATGTAGTAATACTAATTGAATAAATATATACGTTGAACTGAACATATTGCTAGGTAGTTTCCTTAAAAACAAGATTATCGCATCAAGAAGCGGCAGTTCAACAACTTCATAAAATTCGTAGGCAAATGGAAGAAGTATTTGAAAAAGAAAAAAATCTTTTAGAAATGCAAGTAGATCAAGAAAAGCAGACAATTAAACAGTTAGAAGTGCGTTTGGATGTTGCTAGAAGAACTATTCAAGAAGCACGCGAAGCACAAACTGTCGCAGAAAAAGAACTATTTCAGGTAAAGCCATTTTAAGTTGCTTTCTTCTTTATTCTTTTTAACTAATTGATCTCATCGATGATATAATAATTAATAAATTGTTTTCTTTTAATTAGGTAAAAGTTAATTTAGAACAAAAAACTGTAACTTTATTAAATGAAAATGCAAAACTTTTGGAGGATCTTAAAAATGCATCCGTGCAAGAGAAAACTTGTCCACCTAAGGATGATGTAGCCCAAGCGGATGTTCAATTGAAGTTACAAGCTGCCGAAGATAGAATAGCTCAATTGGAAGAAAAATTAAAAGAATGTAGAGCATCTCAAAAGGACTACGAGATACAAAATGTAGAACTTCAAAATATCAAGATTAAAATGGAAAAATTAGAGTCGGAGAAAGCGTTATGGGAGGAAGGTAAACAATTAGTGGCAAGAGCAGCGAAAGCAAGCGAATTTGAAAAAGAATTGAATGCAGCTAAGGAAACAATCGCAGTTTTAAGGGAATCGGTCAGAGGAAAATTACTTTTAGAAGAACAAATGGCTAGCATAACTAAAAGGTATATCGGTCTGCTGACTCTTGTATAATTATATCTTTAATGATTCAATTTGATTAAAAATCTAAAATTTCTTTTTCCATTAAATCTTGAATACATATTTCTACATGTATTTTATAGATTAGAGCATACGGAAAAATTAGAACAACAGATAGCAATGTTGGAAACTACAAAATCTGAATTATTACTTCGTCTCTCGGAGTACGAATCAATAGGAATTAATGGTGGACCTACCGCATTGAAACGCGAATTACATCGACTTCAACAAGCAGAAGCAGTTTTAATGGCAGAAGAAGGTCAATTAAAAACTAAACTAGATGCGGCACAAAGGGAGTGCCAAAATTTGTCAAGGAATTACGAGCAAGCTAAACAATTAGCTATAGATGCGACATCGTCAAAAGAAAAATTGAATAAACTAGTTAGCAGATTGCAAAAGAAAATGATGCTTGTGACCAGAGAAAGAGACAGTTATAGACAGCAATTGGATTTGTATGAAAAAGAAATGACTGTTGACAGTAGTAATGCGATGCTTGAAAGAGTTCCTTCATTAGAACGTACTATCGAAGGATACAGGTATTTGAAATTATTCTATCGTTCCATACAATAGGAGTGCATGAAATAGTAGTAGTAGTAACTAAAATAATTATCATTTTAATGATCAATTAGGGACTTGGTTGCAAAATTAGAAACCGATTTGGAATCTGTAGAAGGTAATAACCAAAAAGAAGAATGCAATAAGTTGAGGGAAGAGATTGAAAGATTAAAAGGAGAAATAGAACATCGAGCTTTGAAAGGTGATTTTAACAGTAATGCTAGGGTATTACACTTTACCATGAATCCTGCTGCAATAGCAGAACAGCAAGCTGAGGAGAAGCGTAAGGTATTATTGCGCGAGCTGGAAGAACTGAGAGCAAAAGTCGCTACTGGCAGCGCAGGAACAGTGGTGTCTACTTTACAAATACAAGGTAAATAGTGTATTGTTGTGCAATAGAACATACTATTTAATATATTATTAAAAATATTAAACGTATACATTTTATATATATATATATATATATATACATGATTTATCTTTTTTTTTCTTTTTTATTAATTTTATATTATATAGAAATTAATGAACTCAAGCAAACTCATGAAATAAAGATTGCGCGTCTCAAGGAAGCGTTTAAAGCGTCTTCTCAAGAGTACAGACAAGCATGTTATCAATTATTTGGTTGGAGAGTCGACAGAACTAAAGAAGGACGTTACAAGTTGTCCAGTCAATACGCTGAATCTCCTGATGACTTTCTTTTTTTTCACGTTGGCGAGGAAGGAGTCGATCTTCTAGAAACTGCTTTTTCTGCGACTCTCGGTACTCTGATCGAGCGGCATTTACAAAAACAACACAGTGTTCCTATGTTTCTTAATGCAGTGCAATCTGAACTCTATTTTCAACAAACAATGACGAATGTTATCAATTAATTTTATTTACATCATCATCATCATCATCATCATCATCATCATCATCATCATCATGATAATCATCATCATGATAATCATCATCATGATAATCATCATCATGATAATCATCATCATCATCTTTATTTGCTTTATTAAAAAATGCATAACTAATTATTGTATAAAGTATTCATTTGTATGGAATTGAAGTATACTAGAAACACGTGTAATACTTAATAAATTATATCTCACCATAGAAACTATTAAATATTGTTATAAGTATTCTAATTCACATCATCAAATTCGACAATTTTATTATTTATAATTTGAAAACAAGTGGCAAATACATTATATTAGGAAACTATATTCTTGTACAAAATCTTTTACCAAGTTTATAAACGATAATCGAAGATATTATTGTTCTTTGACTGACAAAAAAAATGTATGTATTTATATAAATTAATATCTTCTTTGCAAGGAATTCCATGTCAATTATTATGCGAATAGAATGCAGCTGCTCTGATTAAAAATTATCTAGACAATAATATGTTAAGAGGCAAGTATAATAATTTAGTTAAAAGAAGAAGTAAATACTATTAAAATAAACTTACTTTTATTATATAAAAATTGATTGGAGAGTTGCATTTATTTTTAATCAATTAATAAAAACATATTGTGTGTGTGTGTGTGTGTGTGTATGTGTGTGAAGGTAATCTATATTTTATTACAGACTGGTAAAATGTGTATTGCCATCTATCGGTACTAGATATTACTTCATTGTACCGACTAGTAAAATTAGACTGCCATCTAGCGGAAGTAAATGTTACTATGTCTTATCGACTAGTAGAATATGTTTCGCCATCTAGACAAAAGATAAAACAACACTAGGATAAAATCAAGATGGCTACCTGTCAATGTACTTTGAATAACGTAAATACAGGCTATGTGCAGTGTAAAATATTTAATTAAAAAAATCCTTTTAGTGATGCAATAATCAAGTGAATAATATTTTTTAATTATAGTAATTCGTTTCAAATTCTTTATTTAGTGATCGCCAATTCTGGATGAAAATAGTTAAATTGGATGTATTGCTGTGGGACAGTATTACGTCATAACCTAAGAAAAATAATTTTCTTAATTAAATCCGAGAACACGGATGAATTCTAGACGTTCTTTTTATTAAATTATTATAACAAATACTAGTAAGTAACTTATATATTTTG